TCTATATCAGATTTACAGAAAGATGTAGAATATTAAAAAAACAAACCAAAAAAACCTCTTGCCTTAGGATGCCAAAGATAATTTTGATAATGGATCAAAGCATCGCCTCTCAGCAGTGAAATTGTTCTTTTAGTCTTTAATGTACAGAAGTGAAGGGCTTAGCATTTTCTTCCATCAAAAGAAAAGAGCTGTAGCAAAATCATGTTCACAATTTGTGCCTCAGTGAAATGGATAAACCTTGCCTTTTCTGCATTGGGATAGGGCAGCAGGGAGTAGAGTCATGGTCAGCCCAGAAAGGTCAAGAAGTGCACACTTGGCTGCCATGCTCACCTGTGACTCCTCAAAACCTACCTTCCTGTATCACCTTTTTCATTTTTCTCCTTTACTGATTTTAGTATCCTGTTGTCCAGCTACCAGGTGCTCTTCCTGGGTTCTTAAGAAAGTTGTTGGTTACATGTTATTCTTAGATCTTTTAGGTACAAGGTATTTCTTGCCATTTTAACTGCTGACTTATTGCACAAGTGATTTCAGCATATGAAGCAGCGTCTGGTTTATATTTTTGGTGCCCAGCTGACAACTACTTTGAATATATAATATTTCAAGGAATTGGTGATGATATATTAATATCATCCCTTCCACATTTTTCTCTTGACTTTTATTTTCATTTCTTCTATCCCTTCTTTTTACTTTGTCTACCTCTCTCTTCCCTTTAATATAAGAAACTGGCTGGGTGCAGTGGTTCACACCTGTAATCCTAGCACTCTGGGAAGCGGAGGCGGGTGGATCGTTTGAGCTCAGACCACACTGAGCAAGAGCGAGACTCCGTCTCTATTTAAAATACAAAGAAATTAGCTGGACAACTAAAAACATGTAGAAAAAATCAGCTGGGTATGGTGGCGCATGCCTGTAGCCCCAGCTACTTGGGAGGCTGAGGCAGGAGGATTGCTTGAGCCCAGGGGTTAGAGGTTGCTGTGAGCTAGGCTGACGTCGCGGCACTCTAACTTGGGCAACAGAGCCAGACTGTGTCTCAAAAAAATAATAATAACAATATAAGAAACTGATGCTGTGCTGGTTCAGACTAGTTGTCCACCCAAGTCAGTATTATGTCTCTTATAGGGGACACCAGAGGCATGTTGAACAGAAGTGGCTTGGTGGTACTTTTAGACGTTACAGCTGTACCTTGGATGTCCAAGGTCCTGTAATAAGGGGAGTCCAGTGCTGCCTGGATCCTTACAGGTGTCTCCCAAGGGAAAATGAAAACCATTATGAAGTTAAGAAGATTCATTCATATTATTCATAAAACAGCAATGAACATTTACATTTTAGCTCCAAGACCTCAGGACTAAAACAATTTTAGAAGAGCCTTAAAGTATCAAATGTCTGACACCACAAGATCAAATACTCCGACGTAGGATCTAATCCTTTGCACTCGCTTGGTTTTTTCCCGATTCCTTTATTCTACTCAGGATTTAATTTTTTAAATACCCCAGATTTTACAAAGTGTGGCAGTAGAATAAAAATCTAGAGTTTCTTTTCATACAAACTTATTTATTTGGATTTTTTTATATTTCAAATTATTGATACATTCAAAGAGTAATTTTAATCTCTATAATTTTTGCTGACCGTGTTGAGTCACACTGGACATCCGAGTGCAAAGGGTTAAAGATTTGAGAAACAGTAAAAATTAAAATCTGAGTAGAACAAGAAGTTTCAAGAGACAAAACAGTTCTTTTTGCTGGAAGTGAGGCCATGGTTCTTCTTTGGTTTGCCTCCCCAGGAGAGAAATACGAACTTCATGCAGGAACCGAGTCGACACCCAGCGTGGTGGTTCATGTCTGTGAGAGTGAAACTGAAGAGGAAGAAGAAACAAAAAACCCCAAACAGAAAATTACCCAGACGAGGCGCCCTGCACCTCCGACCGCAGCCCAGAACGAGCCCCCGGCCTTCGACTGTGTGCTGTGAGGCCCTGGGCTGCGGGGCAGGGCCGCTGCCCCGTGGGCTTCAGCCATGGCGATCTGCACCCCTGCGGCGGACGGACGCAGCGCGCTGCTGGTGGCGTGGGCGAGACTGGAGTGCGTGAGCCTCAGGGTCTCTCACCACACCCGTCCTGCAGACATGGTGGTATAGAGTAGCAGCACGTCGTACCTGTTCAAAATTTTAAGTGATATTCTAAGTGGCACTTTAAATGAAAGGATTAGCCCCTAAGATGTGGCAACTCTTGACCATTTTTACACAGTAGCAAATTAGGCGAGTGGCTTCCCTTCCCCCGAGCAACGTTAGTTCCTGTGATTCCGTGTAGCATGGGGTACCAAAAACTGGAGCTATAGTCACCCAGTGCAGTACCATTGTTATGCATTTAAAAATAATCTTATACTTTTAATGTCTGGTGTGGCTATTTTTGTACTGGTATAATAGCTTCTAACTAGTATAGTGGTCAAAGGTTGTTATTCAGCATACATGAAATTTTTTGCACAAAAAGAAAGAATAATTCATAGGAATCATTTTTCTCAAGTATTTGTCTCATTAGCTTGGGGAAAAATGCCAAATCCACTTTGATTCTCATAGTCAAGTGGCGCAGATCTGTGTGCATGTTGTTCGCTTTCCTGTTACTCTCTCTCGGAAGGTGGGGGAGAGTGACACACAGGCCACTGTCCCTAATGCAGTGTCCCTCCAGACATAGTCTGCCCAGGAAGAGCTGCTGCTTTGGAAGTGGGACCTATCACCCGTAAGCTTCAGTGTGGTTTCAGAGGGCTGCTGCGTTCTGCCATTTGTAGCCACGCGCCAGCCTGTAGACCACCAACTGTCTTCACTCCAGTTTTTATCCCGTCGCCTTTTCTAATATTGTGTCAGCCACTAGTTCTTGAGTTTTTCTATGCTATACCTACATTTGTGTGTGTCATTCATAGACTTTAGATTAGAGAAGGTAATGGTGGGATCCTCTGAAGACCATTTTTAAATTGTCCATTTAGACATTTTTCAGCCTTCTTTGAAAGAAAAGTCACACATACTATTTTTCTATGAGTTAGGGAATGAGGGAAAGAATCCATTTAGTCGTAGTTCTCATTTTGATGAAATTTTTTACCCTGGCTTTCTACTTTGCATTTTTCCCGAAACAGAACTGTTTCTCACATGTGTTTCAGAGTATATATGAACCTTCTAAAGTAGAAGTGACATCTATTTAACTCTTTGTAGTTTCTTCAGACTTTGAAGTCCCTCTTGGAGAAGAACCTCCTAATTGAGAATGCTTTGCTTAGGCAGATGGGGGTGCTGGTCTCCACTCATTGATCCCTTTGCGTGGTTCCTGTCCGGACTCCCTGGTATGTTGCGCGAAGGAGTTGAAAACATGAGTAAGAGCTGATGAACCAATGCGGCTACCGCCACAAAGGAGGAAAACACTGACATTCAAGTCATGATATCTGTACAGTTTTGGTAACATCTTACTGTGGTTTAGTTCTTATTATGGTAAAAATTTATTTCTGAACTCTTGAACCATATTGACAAAATAAAAAAAGGTTTTCTGTGTTTTCCTTGCTCTCAAATACTCTGAGGTGATACACTCTCCTGTTTGTATCTGTCTACCCCTGCTAAGCCTCAACATAAATTCAGTTGACATTTGCAGTTCCATCAGTAATTAATTTATTGAATTCAGACCATCATTTATCAGTTTGACTGCTGCTTAATAATTGTCCTTTGCAGTTCTGAACTTAGCATTTTACCATTTTTGATTGCAGGATAGACCCTATATTTTAGGAAACATATGTATTGTCAAAAGTTGGGAATTTTTTGAATTTCCTTTTAGGCAATATTTATTAAGCATAATTTTCTAAGTGATTAAAACCCACGATGTTTTGTCATTTGACTTGGCTTTCATTCTCTACCTGCCAATTAAGGAATGTCACATCCCTATCAGGTAAAACTTTTTTTTAATGTAAAGCAGTACAAATTATTCAAATTATCCAATGTTTTTACACTATTCTTTTTTTTCTTTAAGAGCATTGAATAAATTGAAGAAAACTTTAAACCAAAATTTTATATATAGAGAGGATAAGAGTCATTTAAACTTTTCCCTGGGAATCAAATCATATAGAAAATTGTAAAAAAAAGGTAATGGTGCTTTGTGTTAGGAAAAAACATTTGCAAAGGTTAAAGAAAACCCTATCACTTAACAAGGGTAGTTGACAGAACCTGCAATACATTGGCTCTTACATTCTAGATTTTTCAACATACCCACCTGATGAAACCAGAGGTAAATGCATTTGAAACTGTCCTAGTGAGCATCTACTGGGTTCAAGGTGCTCAGAGGCTAAAATGGATAAGAACACTTCCCTTGCCTTGGAGAACTTAAACCAGGTGGAAAGAAAACTAGTCTTTTCACATTCTCCTTCTTCAAAGTTTTATACACAAGTACTTATCAATTATTAAAAGCTAAATCATCAAAGCTACAAGGAACTTACAAGTTCAACACAAAGGTTTAAATAGAGCATTGTAGTCATTTTGGGGATGTTTGAAGAGATACCAGGAGAATAAGGTGGGGTGCGGTACTTCCATTCTTTAAGGATATAGTCTTTATTTATTCACATGATTTCCATCTTCTAAAATGTCATAAAGTGAAAAGATTTGGTTTTTGTACAAGCTCAGTTACAGAGGTGAAGGTGACTTTGGAAACTGTAGAATCTAATCCTCGTGTTACACAGATTAGAAAACTGAGGTTTATGGAACAGACTTAGGAGCCCACAGCAAGGCAGCCCGGAAACTAGAATTGGCATCCCAGCTCCTGGGCTAGTGCTTTTTCTGCTCTTTCTTGCATTGGACTCTTAAAGAGGCAGTGAGTAATAATCCCTGTCAAAAGAGAAAAAAAGAAGTGAGGGGATTCTTCTTCCCCTGATCAGATAGAATGAATAAGAAAAATCTTACCTGACAAGGATAGTAATTTAGTAATTTTAAAGACTTTGATGTTCCATGTTGTGTGATTTTGTTACTATTGAACCATTGAGGTTGGCATCTGCTTAAATAATTTTATCTTGATAGCCAGCAGTTATGTTGGCATTTTATGTGGGCTTTCCTAGATTTTCATGGTAATGAAATTTAATAGTTATACTTAAAATATCTTAACTCTAATGAAGTAGAATGAGATCTAGTGTGATTTGGAAAGAAAAGTTTACAGTGGAATGACACTCAGTGCTTATAAAATTGAGTTCTATTCAAGACTGAAGACTGACATGTTTCATATTTTTATACAGACTCTTTTACAGACCATAGATTTATTTTAAAAAGGAAAATTTCAAACATTATTAAGCAGTGGGAAATTTACTACATTCTGTGGTGCATCAGGTTCACTGTCCACTGGAGTCGTGGACCTCAGAGCTGCCATGCAGGTGACCTTGGTCCATCTTTTCTTCCTCTCCATGTGTTCGTTTTTTGCACATTTGCATTTATATCTTCCTGTAGTAAAGAAAAAAATGACTTATAATTAATGTAACAATATAAAGGAACAAAAGAATTGGGGAAACAGTTACAGAAATTCACTGTTTAAAAGTTAAATGTAAAGAATAAGATTTATGGACCTTATTCAACAATTTGGTAAATACTCATTTGTTTTTTAAACTCCCCTGGGAGTGTGGGTCAGCCGGAACATCTTCATCAGAATGCCATCGTTTTCTTTAATCATGAATCTAGGGGAAATAATAATTTGGAGAGCGCTGTTATTAGCAAATGTACAAGCAACAAGGTAACCTACAGCGACAGCACTGCTAGGTGCACTGACCAAGATCATAAAACTGTCACGGTCAAAGTAGAGTTTCTAGCCAAGGTTAAGGAGAACTAACCTTGGGTTGAGTCAAAGTGTCTCTACTCATTTAAATGAAAGTTGAAAGACCTTTCACTATGGTGAGTTAGACACGTGGTCTGTCGTACAAACCTACATTGCCTTTGCAACAGCATCATGTCCTGTGAACTCTTAGAGCTCCTGCATAGCTTGGACTGAACGTTCGTTCTCGTCATGATGAAAGACTCGTATCTATGCAGATATAATACGTGTTTTTCTGTATTGTTTTCTGTGTAGTCCCCAGTCCTCCTAACTCACTCACCCTGGGGACTGAGGAGAGAGAAAGGCGGCTGCTCCTGTTACTGTGCCATATTCTCCCCGCTGCTTTTCACCCCAAGGTGAGCATTGATTGATGCCTCCGCTATCTCGTGCAGCCCCTCCACGTTTGAGAAAACTTTCACCATCATTTTACTTCCATCCTTGTTGAACCCAGGAGTTGAATTTATTATTTTACCTTGATGTGTTTGTGATCCTGTGTTATATTTTGGGACCTGTTATTAATACTCGCCTGGTACTTTAAGCTGTAGTGAATACTCATTGTACTTCAAAACTTGGTCAGTAATTTGTGTACACGTATTCCACATTTTAGTGTGCTTGAAGTGACAGTCCATAGTTTGTAGTGATTGTTATTTCTCAACTTTGACTCTCCTGTGTTTTGAGAACATTTAAACATTCCTTGCCCTATTAAGGTGACAAAAGCAGAATGTAACCTTTTTTGAAAGCTTCGTGATTAATTGTAACAAGTTTTGTTTTTAAAACTAATAAAAATAAAATTAGTGTTTTTTTAATCAGTCCATCAAATTGAGTTCTTTGTATATTTTCAAGTATCACTTATTATACATTTAGCTAATAACACAAGAAAAACAGAAAAGTGAGACACTGTGTTTGTTCCTTTAACAAGATTCGTGTTAAGCATTAACGCTACACGGTTGCCAGAGTTCAAGGTGCTCAGTCACTGCCAACTCCGTAGATAACCACTCCAGCTTCAGTTCTTCCCCAAGGAAAGTTTTTACCCCCGTTTGCTCCTTGGTTGAAAATGATTTCTTCCTGGTAGAGGCTTATTTTCTGCCTTGGTTAAAATATATATATATATTTTGAAACTATAAATGACTATAGAGGTTATCTAGTGCAGTGGGGTTTTTTAATACCTATATTTAAGCCATAACTCTCTGCCTTTTGTGCAAATGAAATCTTACATAAAGCCCAATGTAAAAGTTGATTACCTAAACTAAATAAATAAACATACATGTTCCTTT